GTTTTTGCAGGGTTGTAATTCGTGTTTTGCAGAAGAGCAAAGTGTCTGTGTGGCTGGAAAATGGGCTTCCCAGCGGCAAGCTCATCTTAGGCGTTCCCACCTACGCACGTTGCTTCAATTTGCTTGACAATGAAGAACATGGTATCGGGGCTGCAGTAGATAAGACCACTTGCGGCGGCCAATGGACCGATGAAGATGGCTTTCTTTCGTTTTATGAGGTAGCAAATGCTGTTTTCTTCCCAATGGAAAGCCGATACTGCAACCGGGATCTTTGATAGGTTCAGGAGTATCTAAGCATCGGCATCTGCCAGGGATCCGAGATTTCGGACGATTCGGTTTATGCCTGGTGTTCGGACATGTGGATGACATACGATAATGAAGAAACCGTTGCATCCAAAGTAAGAGAGCGTTTGCAGACACCAAGCACGAAATTGCTAACTAATTTGTTCGCATTTCCAGACAAAATACGTTCTGGAGTCTGGATTGGGAGGAATAATGGTTTGGTCCATAGACACCGACGACTTTCTGGGCTTACATGGCAATAAATTTTCGTTATTGTCTTCAATTTATCGCACAATAAATGAGGGTTGATTGGTCAATTAAATGTTATTCGACAATAAGCCGCCTTTTTGCCTAAACCTGTATTCACGTTGTCGCCACTTAAGCATGAAAATTGATTTTCGTCTATTTGCTCAGCTGCGGTTGAATATTTTCAGAATTAATTGAAACGCTACAAATATTTACTTCTTTATTCCTTTAAATTAGGAAATTCGTATTACATTTGCGGATGGTTTTCCGTCATGAAGGCGAAACGCCTTAAGAAAGCGCGGTTGAAAGCCCTAAACTTCAAAGCTGCATTTACCACAACCACCAGCTGAAATTAAATAAATTCTTCTTAACTAGAGATTTTTATATAGGGAGATTTATACAGAGTAGCCGAAATTAAAGCGAGTTCTTCAGGTGTTTGGTTTTATTTAACTACTGGAGAAATGTAACGGAAATTTATACCCATTTTACCTCTACTTTTGACTACTTTTTGGCCCATTTTCGTCATGTCTCAATGGACTAGGAATTATTTTGCTCCTAACTTCCAGACCACTGTTGAAAATGTAGGTTTAAAAGCAAAACAAAGCTTAGACAAACATCAGTTTGCCTATCAAAAGAGATAGACTTTCGACGCCATTACTTGAAACTAATGGGT